AAAAAAAAAAGATTTATGCAAAAAATGTCTTGATGACTAAGGTGCATCTGACCCATTCATGGTATTTTCAATCACCTCATAAGCATGTGGAGCCATAACCATCATCCCCTTCATAAAAGAAAAAAAAAAGGGTTTTAGTTCCACAATCTTGCTCTGCGGCATTCGCCCATGTGACCAGCTTATAGTAGTCGTAGAAGCAGGAGTAGACCAGACACCCATGACCTCCAGCGGAACTGAAGAGCAAAAAACACCCTGGCACAGCACTTGAACCTGAGGAAACTAGCTGCCAGGCTCATGGGCACCATCCCATAATAAGTGATGACAGCCTACCCAGAAGCCTTTACCTTGGACTCCATTTTTGAACACCTGTTGCATGTGCACCCAATGACCACCATAACCTTAACCATGTAGACCCAATTCCCTGAATCTGCGCCTTTGTTCCTAAATATAGTGTCCTTCCCATCTAAACTCCCTTACAAACCCCTGTCCTTTTCCCTTGTTTAGAAAGACTGTGGCCTGCATAGTCTTCGCGCCCCTGCCATGTCTGCCTTGCAAGGTACTTCTCACTAATATATCTTCTTGTTTGTGGAGTAAGCTTGGCTCCTGGCCTCGTTACTCTTAACCAGGCCAGGGAAAGAACCCCACCTGTGGGGCACTCCTGCAGCAGTGCCACTCTCAGTACTGTGGCTAGAGGGAGCCTCTGAGCAGGGCACTGCCCTTATTTAGCCCTAGGAACTTCCCAGGGGTCCAGTCACACATCACTCAGAATTCTCCTCTTCCCCCTCCAGGCTCCCACCATGCAGTCCCCTCCTTCTTGCCTTTTCTAGCCCAGCCCTGTCTTCTCTGGCCAGGCCAGCTGTGCCAACTGTACGCTCTCCTCCTTTGCTACACCAACTTGTCCTGGCTCTCATTCAATCTAGGTGTGATGACTTGATTCATGTGTGTGACAGAGGTAAGACCGTTTGTACAAATTATTCATGGTGCATAGTAGGTACTCAGTAAATGTGGGGGGGGGCAGCTGGGGGGGGTGCTAAATGAATGATTATGTATTGAGTACATTCCCAGGCCCGGAGTTTGCCAAGGCCTTGGTGAAATGAGGGGGAGGAGAAGCCAGCCAGGGTTTTGGAATCAGAATTAAGCTCCATTTCCTCAAGTAGACCACCTTGCTTCAAAAAAGGCACAAATACTTTGCAGATGACATATGTCTAATGCACCACGTTACAATGTCCTCAGAGACGACCTTCGGGAAAGCTGTTCCAGAAATGGGTTAGAAACCCAGTTGGGGGATGAATCCGCCTGTGTCAGGAGGAGGAGCCCGACCGTGTTGAGCTTGAAGAAAGTGGGAGCAAAGAGACCAAGTTGTAGGAGAATGGAAGGTCCAGGGAAAGAAGGGGATGGTGGTTATGGCTCCTCTTGGGGCCGATAGAAGGACACAAGAGGATGGAAAGAATAGGGCATACTGAGCAAACGTGGTGCCCCTCATCCACTGCCCACAAATGGAGGGCACAGCATTTGCACAAGCTGCATACCAGCGGCTGTGGCACAGGAGAGCAGGCAGCCAGGTAGAGGATACCTCCAAGACTAGGTGTGCCCCATGCCCAGAATCAGGAGTCTCCCGCAGGTTCTGTGGAGAGGGCAAAGGACAGTGGGTGTGGGGTCCCCGGTCAGACCACCAGGACAAGAGGCTCCAGGACTCCCAGAGACAAAGCAGAAGATAAAGCTGGCAAGGAGGGGAGGAGCCAGGAAGCCTGAGTGCGAAGTTCAGAGGAAGATGAAATTAGAGGCCCCAGGAGGGCATTTCCAGCCAACCAATTGGGGAGAACACCTTCACGGAAGGCTCAGCCCTTCCAAATGTCCTCCCCAAAGGTGTTGTGAATGGGTGAAGGGAGGCATCGCTCAGTGTAAGACATAAAAATATATATATGTAATAATTTATAAATTAGCAAGGGTTCATGAAGAAGGGAGTAGAAAAAATGAGGAGCTGATACCAAGGGCTCAAGTAGAAAGAAAATGTTTAGAAAATGATGATGGCAACAAATGTACAAATGGGCTTGACACAATGGATGGATGTATGGATTGTGATAACAGTTGTATGAGCCCCCAATAAAATGATTATAAATAAATAAATAAATAAATAAAGGCTAAGTGCTCCAGGTTTCCAAGGCCAGAGACTGGG